AGCACAACAGGGCCTCCAGAGTCCACCTCGTGTGGATGTGAAAGGGACGGAGTCTGAATTTATTTGGAGATGGAGCAGAGCGGACTATTGGCTGATGGCCGTCGTGATGTCACTTCTACCTCGATTATATTTTGACTTCTCAGATATTGACTCTTATTTCTGAATGGCAGGCAGGCAGGCAGGCAAGCAGCACCTACTTGTTACATGGACAGGAGCAAAGACCACAGAATTTCCCTAGATCGTTCAAATTCTTTTCTGCATCCTTCATGTCCTTATTGATTTGGTCCATTCCCTCCTCGATGCGCTCCAGTTGCTCTGATTAAACACAAGTCATTTATCCCCCACAGAATGAAGCACGAGAAGAGAGAGAGAGAGAAAGAGAGAGAAGGGGGAGCAGAGGAAGAGAGAGATAAAAAAAAGGACAAAAGGAGAGAAGACAACAACTTCAGACACTCACTGTGACGAAAGAAAGTAAAAGTTAAAAAAAATAGGAAGAAACTGGACGCCACCACATATGTAAAGAACCTTTGGGGCACATTGTCAGTACCTACTTGTTACACGGACATATGAAAAGCCCACAGCAGTTCCCTAAATCTTTTAAATTTTTCTCGGCTTCCTTCATGTCTTGGTTGATATGGTTCATGCCATCTTCAACACGATCGAGTTGCTCTGGTCAGGACAAAGGGATGACAGTAGTGGAATGAATTTCATTGAGTGATTGACATATGAGTTATGATGAGCAGTAACTGTCATACTGTTACTCTAATGTGTATTTGCATGTGTCAGGGTCAGAGATTAAGACTTTCTATTGAGTGCACCGTTTGGTGGCATAAAAGGAGTTCATGTGCACTTAAGGAATTTGTGGGCCAGAGAATGGTATTAAAAAAGCACAAAAAATTCAAGTAATGACAGTAAATAGATTTCAACACTGATGGTAGAGGAACAGTTCGACATTTTGGAAAGTACGCTCAGTCGCTTTCTCACCAAGTGTTAGATGAGAAGATCGATACCACTCTCCAACCGTCTCCTGGCTCTAGCTTCATATTCAGTACACAGATGTGAGAATTGTATCAATCCTTTCATATAACTCCTTGAAATATACCCGATATCAAAAAATGTCAAACTAACCCCTTAATTGTTCCTTGTGACACTTTGTCTTAAAGTCAGATAACAGGAGGATAAGAGATTGCTTCCTTGTTCAAATCCGTGGAACTGTGTTCAGAGCTGATATTTTATCATTTATCAGACCAAAGCAAAGAAATGTCACTTGAGAGCTGTTTGTGATGCCAGCATCGTGCAACACTGACAGCACGTTTCCCCCACTTCTAAAGAAAGACGGTGAGATAAAGCATCTCTTGTTTTTGCTGTTCAGACATCCATCTAATTTTATATATAAATATACATTTATATTTGTACCGGTATATGTTCTTTGGTCTGTCCAAGCCCTAGCAGCCACTATACAAACCACGACAGTTACTGCAATTATTCAAATAGTATTGAAACATAAATGGCTCTCATGGTGAACATGCCTTATTTTAGTTGAGGGACCTTTTAGGAGTTTCAACATTCTTTCTAGTACCAGTTTTGTTGAATTGCAATGTTACATTTTGCGGCCACAATTGAGTAAATATAACTGCGTTGGTTTGTCTGCTTTTTGCAAATGTTCAAGGTATAATTTAAAAGGATTTCTAGTGTGATGCGATTCTGCTTTCTTTTTTATTAGCCTTTTGTCTCGCTGATGTGCTTGATGTTGACTGTTCCACAGCACAAACACCCTTCCATCCTGTTTGTGATCAAAGGAAATGCGGTGCGAGCGGAGTGAGAAAGGGTGAGGCACAGTTAAATATGGAGCAGATTCAAAAGGTGATTCATTGTCTTTTTCAGATTTGTAAAATCCCTGGTTAGCATGCATTTCTGTAAATCTATTCAACCCAGAAAGGATCCATGTTCAGTCAGTGTTATTAGAGTGAAGTGGGGTAAGGACATTGACCATGCAGCATACATTAAAACGTTTGTTTGGATGGTCAGAGGAGGGATAGAGCTTTTATCCGAGTCCCACGTCCTCGCTAGAGCCGAATGAGTACCTTTTTCATAGTTTTGCACTGCCGCTATTAGCCGTCTGACGTGGCCCTCTTGTGTTATACACTGTGGGTTGCAGGCCTTGCTCATTAATAAACTGCATGTAACCAGGGATTGTACAAAGCAGTGCATGTGTTGACAGAGGAGTGATTGAATGTTTTGTCGTTACCAGCTAAATCGATCGTTTTCTTTTACACCTCTGGACTGTCACAAGGGTGGCAGGGCCTGTTAAGCTGTTCTCACACCTGTTTGGGCGTTTGGGATTCCAGTAGTGTTAACAGAAGGCTGAAGACAGACTGGCCAAATTATAATCATTTAAAAAGTCATCTTTGACCAGAACCATATAACAGGGCCGATTTAAAGAGGTGAACAAAGAAAAAAGCCTTCAACAGGTGCCTGATCAAAAATTCAAACTGAGGCAAAAGATCTGCACACTCAGCAATTTCCACTGTGCAACACTTTGATCTCACAGAGATCTCTTCGTGAGGCATTGTCAACTCACCAACACAAAGCAGAGCAGGCGATATATTTATAGACACAGACACAGCCAGGTGATTGTGATCTGCATGATTGGCAGTCAATCTACTCTCAAGTTGGCCCAAACAGATCGGAGCTGAAGGATGCTGTCTGATACTCCCACATACAGGACAGAGCATGAGCCTCTATGACAAACGGAACTAGAAACACCAGGATCAATATTAAACAAGGATACATTGTACGTAACATATCAAAAAGATATATCATGAATCATCTGGAACAAACAATTATCCTAGAATCTACTATGTAGAAGAAAACATATAATAATATAATAACTGAACCCAGTGTATCTCAGTGTGGATGGGTTATGTTTTAGTACAGGACATCAACATCATTCTTTTGAAAAGGCCTTCTATATATTTGTACCATTAAATGTACTTCTTTGTAAGTGGTTACCGTTAACAAAACAAAATGAGTATGATCGACTTTTACTAATATCTTAAAGAATTCGATTTATCTCTGTTGATGCAACCTTGCTTTTCATTTTCTTTCTTTGTGTTGTCGGTATCAAAACTAATTCTGGCCAACTGAAAGGCCTGACCTGATTGGAATATTTAAAAACTCTTTTTGGGCGAGTGATAATAGTAGTTTTCATTTTCATTTTTTGGGGACTTATAGTCTACATTTGACTCAACCTCTTATGTGTTGTATTGAATAAGATGGTATGAATTCAGATTTTAGCCAGTCGCTAAGCTGAAATTGCCTGATTTCCTTAAAAAAAGATTATATTTTTTTCTTTTGGGCCAATAACAGATTATCATTCACTATGTTTTTCAGCTTTTTCTATGTATTTTTCTATATATAGTTTCGAGGGTAATTGTTTTTTTTACAGATGATTTATGACATATTTTTGATATGTTATATTTGCTTGATGTTTCTAGTTCCATTTACACAGAGGCTGGTCATAGAAACAGAACAGGAGTAGAACGGACATTGAACTGTTTTCCGTGGTCATCTGACTAGTAAAAAATAAATAATAAATACTCCTATTCTATTTCATAGAGGCTCGTGCTCTGTCCTCCATGTGGGAGTAGCAGACAGGGTCGTTGAGAGTAGATTGACTCTCATTCATGCAGAGTGAGGAATGTGTTTGTGTCCACATGTTGCTTGCTTAGCTTTCTGATGGGGATTTGATAATGCCTTACAACGAAAAAAAACAAACATGCACACTCAAATCTGTGTAAAATCTTTGAAATAAGTGAGCTCTCCGTCTACGACCTTTTTAAAAGCAGGAAAAGGAAGCAAGTGAATGCAGCGGTACAAAAGGTTCAAGGACAGTCGCTTCATTAGTCTTAATGCAGAACACTTGTGTCAATCAGTTGAACTTGTGGTGCGTAACATTTAGGGGATTGTAGTTCTGGGTAAGATGGACAACAGGTTAAAGACAACATTTTGCAGGATTACAAATTGCTGTGAGCTTTTAATACAGTGTGCAGATCTTGCCTTTCTCTCTATAGAAGTGGCCTATCTGCTGCCACTTATTTCCTCTCAGGCTCATTAGATGCTGTGGCAAAATGTAAATGATCTGTTGGCAGTGAGTTAAATGTTTCTAAAGCTGTGACATCACTGTGTTTTTCGATCATTTTAACATCCAAACAGTTTTTTCCTCAGTAGTTCTGGAGAGGATTATTACACAAACAGATCCAAGAACAGCCCAGGAGTTGATGTTGAGCTGTAGGGTTTTGGCAATGCAGTAGCTGGCGTTAAATATTCCTCTGTGAATGTGTTGGCAACTTTCAAGATTTCCTTTCGCTGCCTTTGTTAATGAAAATTAGAAAACGCTGCTGGCAAATCAAAAGCAGTTAGGCAAACCAAAACAAAGAAAGAAATGTTAGCCAAAGGAAACAAAGGTTAAAGGAAGCTGAAAGGAAGAACATTTCCCCAAAGTTAAACCCTTGGCACTTTTGACCAATCAAATAAACCATGCATTAAATCATAACCCAAATCAGAAAATGTCACTCTAATCAAATCAGGCAAAAAATGAATTAGTTTAAAAATGCATTTAAATGAAAACAAGCAACTGCATATGAAACAATCAATCCATTCATAAGTGTTTTAATACCGTAAATTGAACACCAACACTACTATCTACAAATGACAATGTCTCTTGTGGTGCTAATATGTAAATCTAAACAGAATCTATTACTTTTTACAGGATACTGATTCATTATATGAGCTCTGTTGAAAGTGGATAGCTCCGTTATTGATACCTTTATGTTGTGACTAAACCCGCCTTATACTCTCGTGCAGACTTACCTCCCTGCTCGTCCAGCATAACCAAAGTCCTGATGCCGGCATCTTTGCTCTATTCCCGAAAGACAGCCAGGTCGGAAGGGGGGGGGGGGGGTGTGAAGGAGGGAGGACAAATACAATGAAATAGAGGTCAGTGAAGGGATCAGTGGCTACTGACACAAATGAGCTGTCATAAGCAATTTTCCCATTCCCCACATTTTCACTTTTCACCAGAAACAATATTTTTTACAGCGCTTTATCACTATTGTGCATTCTGTGGTATTGGATTCTTCTAATTCAATAGAACATAGTGCCTTAAGACAATCAAACTTTCAGCTAACACAATGGACAACCTTGGCTCCTAAAAATTGCACAAAAAACGCACAAACACTAATTGGTTAGGTTTACTAAAAGATCATGGTTCGGCCTAAAATAAGTGCAATTGTTAAGTAACTAAGGTATGTACTGATAAACGTTTAACATAACGTTGAAATAAGTAAACTTGAATTTTGGTTTCACGTGGGACACGAATAGAGGCCTTCTGGGTGAAAGTCCTATGTTTGTTTGTCCATTCCTCCGTCCACCCCGATCTTCTCCCTATGCAGACTTCCACGGACTTGATGAGAAATGTTTTTGTGATATGTCAAAAAACAATTGACAATGCGCTTTCGTTGTATGGGAACGTATTTTTAGGAGACCAGGCTGGGAAGGAAGGAAACTGAGCCTTCACCTGCATACCTTTCAATTAACAGCTGTGACAAGTTTTATAATAACATGATTAACATAAGTTTGATAAGTTTTACATTTTGGGAAACACTCTTACTTGCTTTCTTGTAGTTAGATGAGAAGATCGATTCCACTCACAAGTCTGTATGCTAAATATGAAGCTGCCAGTAGCTGGTTACAGTATCTTAGATTAGCATAACATCCAGTCTGCCTGGCTAGTTACTGGTCTGGCCTAGAAATAGTTACAGGACCCAACTCCCTACAAAACCACAAAACGAATGTGATACAATGTTCTAATTAGTGTGTTTAAAAGTCTTGGTCTTTTAACCTTTGTAAAGAAGCTGGCCATCTGTTACCTCCCTGCTTCCAGTTTTTATGCTAAGCTAGTCTGGCTCTGGCTTCATATTGAGCATACAGCCATGAGAGTGGTATCAATTTTCTTGGCAAAAAAATGTCCCAAATTGTTGAACTATTAAATATCCACATGGAAAAATACGACACATCTTAAAATCAAAGTGGAGGTAGGAAATCTGCAACATACTTTTTTTTAAGCATTTAACTGTTGGTACCTATTGTCCTACTGTAATACTTATTTTGAGTCACACACGCAATAAGACAAGTAAGTCTACCATGTATACTGGAAAGCTGAATGACTAATTTAACGTCATGATACGCTGTGATCATTTTGTGGATGTGTCCGTCTAGAATATTTCCCTCCCCCAACGTCAGCATGTAGTATTGATTAGAAGGGGCAAAGGTAACTTGGACATTACATCTTCAGCAGGAAACATGGAAATTGCTCCCAGGAGATGAACAATAATAACGCTGATGGCAGAGGAGAACCCTGCCATTGGATTACCTTGTACAAAGGACACAATTAATAACCCAACACCCCTTCTGTCTAAGACTCAGCAGCTGTTACACCTTTGGCCGATGCACTAGCATCGCTTTTAACCTGTAAGTAACACTATCTTTCTTCCCCCTCCCCCCACATTTAAAATGTATAATCCTCTGTTATTCGCCTTTCAGCCTTCAGATTTTCAGTTGAATTCCTTCCCCACTGTGAACCATCCGAACAGCTGAGCCTGCATGGGTGCAACAGTAAAGCTATTAGTCACTGATAGGCTGGGTTGGCTACAGGTTTTAATGCCGGTAGAAAGAGTGCGAGGAGGCGGAGGATAGCGACACTCGCTTCTAACTCCTCTCTGCTTCTTAGAAATGCAGCAGCGCCGCGCTAAGATGTGCCACCTGGTTGGGCCTGATAGGCATAAATAAGATTATGGTGTGTCAGTGTGCACACACATAAGCACACATCCTTCCCCTACCTGCCTCCTCAGCAGTTTGAGAGGAAAGTGAGAGGTGTGTGTGTGGGGGGCAATGAGGAAACTCTGGTGTATAAATTATTCTGTAATTCAGCAAGCGTCGGTCCAAGAGAAATCCCAAAGTAGTCAAAATGAGTCCCCCGGGGGAACTCAACCGGGATCCCGTACAGAAGTGGAGGTGGTTCGATGCGGATTCCTTATTCAAATCAGGTGGATTCATACATTTTGTTATAGATGCAGTAGGTTGTTCATTTGCAGGATAAGTAGTGGATTTGGTTTGGTGTGTTGCAACATGAAGGATTCTTACTTGCTCAAAAGCAACCTCAGTAAATTTGAAAACGACTTTTTATTCAAAAAATACTTTTCCTTCATAATAATATTCAAATATTTTTTTTTTTTCCTTTGTCATTTTCCAACCCATCGTCTCCTCAGTCGATTGCACACCACACATTTCTGAAGTTGGGACTGGATATCAGAAAACCCTAAAATAGAGCGAATATTGGCGGCCTGGTGTGAGCCATTTGTGTGATAACGGCCTGTAAAGCAGCAATCTCCCTGCCTGCAGCACAGCGGTTGGGCGGGGCTGCGTGGTGAGACATGTCAACGGATGATCAATGTGACCTTGAGATCTGCACTGAGAGCTTGTCAGACGCTGCCCCCAGCTGTCCACGCTGTCTCCCCTTTTATGTCCTCCTTCCCTCCATCTCTGTCCGCTGGTGGGAGTGTCACTCTCAGGCTTTCTGTTCTCCTTCTCTTTCACTTTCTACATTTACATTTATGAATGTAACATCTAATGTCATTAGTGCATGTATCCTCTCTCTTTGACCTTAATTCATTTTTTATCATGCTATTCAGGCCATCACTCGGTTGACACATGGTTCATTCAGTCCTGCCTGACAAGACGCTCTGCTGTCGGTGACAGTGAGTGATTTAGTAGAATTGTTCCTATTACAAATATCCTTTCATTTTTTATTTAATCATTGGCAGTTAGTCTGCGGTTAGCACAGTTTTCCACTAATGGATTGTATATTTCATTACTTTGAGGCAATTTTGAGTTAGGAAACCATATATAAATGACAATTTATAATTGTGTTGACATTATCCTGTTCAATACTCAAATTATAATACAATTCTAAACGTATTTCAGAAGTTTACTTCTTTATTCCGCTGACATTAATAGCACTCCTTATTTTGACCCATTCCCTGACTTTAACAGGTTAAATAGTATAGACTTGCCTTTGTCTCTGGATCTCTGAAAGCAGGACTTCAATACAGGACATATGGGGCAGGACGCGTATCGTTATATGGTATTGTTGGGGTGTTAATTATGCTAAGTTAAGAAAGAAATACCTAAATGTTACTGTATACGGTAACAATCAATAATAATGCTTTGCACAAAGGGTGTGATAGACTTGACGCGATGCGTCCCTGCATTCATTCTCGTCATATTTCATCAATAAAGTCAAAGTTTGATTCGTTTTCTTACCTCTTCCACCAGCTGCAGCATACGACGAGTGCTCTCCAGAGACTGTGGAGAAATAAAAGATACATTAATGACATGACGTGATTCAAACGGCTAGAGCCTTCGCAAACAGGAAACAGTGCCGTCTGACATCAAGAGGGTGAATCAATGGAGTCCTCCTGTGGTAACATAAAAAAGAATAATCACAATCCCTTGTCTAAAGTATGTTGGTTGTATGTATGTTCATTGAATCGAGCATAAGCGAGCTTGTATCACAACAAGGTGGAGTCAATTTGAGCAATCAGCGGGACACAGAGGGGATCAATATCCGACGTTTATCGACATGAACTCAACATGAACTCACAGAGACACGCTGTCTGAGCGTAGCTGTAACGGTGACCGACTTCTGAGAAGCTTATTCTCATGCTGTCAATCAACTGGATGCTTACAATGATTTGGATTTGAGAGCAAAATGAAATTCTTTCTAAGCACATCTGAGATCTAATCAGCAGTGATTTACTCTAGAATAGCTCTACTCTTGCAATAAAAGCATGCTTTGACCCCCCCCCCCCCCCTTCTATTCCTTTTCCCAAACTGTTGGATGTCTATTATTAGCCTGTGTGGTGATAGATATGTCGGTGCGCGTTCCAGTTCCCTCTCTAAGAAGAAGAAGCTTGCTAGCTACAGCCACTCGGCTCTGCGATGTGTCGTCCTCTTTACAGTAGCCGTGTTTCCATTCAATTCAATCAGATGAATTTTAAGGAAACTTTTGAAATGTCCCAAAAAAAAGATGTTTCTATTGATTGGTTAGGAGAGAATAAACTCTGCCACTGCGTAGTTCGGTCAGAAGTCGGTACCATAGGCTACGCATGTCTGTAATCCGCCAGTAAACAGCATAGAAAAAGAAGTAGAGGTTGTAAACAGCGCGCACAACAAATGGACTTGGCCATCTAACCAACGACGAGAGAAAAATGGAGATGTCATGATTTCCGCAGACAAAGTATTCGCACATTATGGAGATAACCGAGAAGACAGCAACAGCAGAAACAGCTGTGATAAGTCATGTGAATTAAACGTTCGCTATATGTCAGAATTTCTTCGCTAAAGGAGTTTCCATTTACTCATTGAGCTTATCGACTCTTTTTCGACAAAGACAATAACCACCTTCAGTGAGCTAAAGAAAGATTATTTATTTTTTGCAATTGGGGAAGTTTTATAGAATTCTGTTGCTTCCATACAGCTTTTCTAATGCGATACTTCAAGATGGGTGTTGAAATAATGTGAATGGAAACACAGCTAATGACACAGCTTCGCCTTGCTGATCCCCGGAGCGGTGGCGGCTGGAGAAGGTGTTTGGGTAAGGAATCGTGTGGGGATTTGAGCGGCCATTTATGTGGTCCCATCTCTCTCTTTTCATCTAAAGCAACCAGAATACCCTTGAGCTCATGCAAGTCAGTGCAACAGAGGAAATAAATGCCATTTTGTGCATTGCCCTATGTAAGTGTGTGTGTGTGTTTAATATTCTGGTCAGCTGTGTCAGTGTGAGTCATATGTGAAGCTGGAAGGGGTGTGGACTTATGTGCTCTGGGCCATGACTTGAGACTTTGTCTCACTCTCCATGCTGCTGAAACACACACACACACAGACGCAGATGAATTCCTACACATGAACACACGGACACACTCCCGCAATTAGTTCTGCAAATTTACGTTCATGAGTGCGTACATTTGTGTCACGCACGCTCCCACACACACACTCAAGATGCTGTGCAGTGTTATGTAAAGACGCATGATGCAGGTACACACACACGCACACAAACACACATAACATAGTGCTGTATCATTGATATTTTTATGCGTTCAAGGACAGAACTACATATTTGTTTTAGGGTATAAAACATCCTACGCAATGTGAAAATGCAGTTAAAGTTAAGAGGTTTCTTTGAGCTTTTAGATTAGGAAAATAATAAAAAGAGGACCTTTTGTTGTCGCTACTATTTGAATAAATAATATTTATCCTCCACATTATGGTCATGTTTTAAGATCCGCCATTTCAAAGTCCCTCTAATGTACGCTTTATGTGCCTCTCATTTGTATGCGTATGAATGTGCTCGAGTCCACTCCGTGGGTAAGTGTGCATAGATGTGCGCTTGCCATCATGTCCGTGCACACCATCGCAACTGAAACCACCTGGATGCAGCAAGCGTGTTGCTCTCACCTCGTCGGCCAGCTGGTCAGCACGTTGCTGCATGTCTGACAGCTCATTGCGCATGTCCGCGTCTTCTGCCATGGTTGCTGGATGTGGGGGGTGGAGAAGGTCCTAGTGGGTGTTCGGGGAGGGCTGGAGGAGAGACAAAACACAAGAAAAGGACAGATGAGGCATGAACAAGTCTTGGGGTGATGGAGAACTTGGATCATTTGACGATTGAAATAGAGATAAAAATGAGCTGGCTTTTCGAAAAATATGGTTTTGGTAATGATGAAAATCACATCCCCGACATCATACATTCACGGTCTCCTCTCTAAGAAACAATACTTCAAACACTTGCTTCCAGTAAATGGAGGATTATAAAAAGACAAACAATGACAGAAGGCAGACAATTGCTGAAGAATATCAAGCTCAGACGGGCCGACATTGACCGAACATCTAAAGGATTAGCCAAAAACGGTTTGTTCCTAGAAACGCATACTAACAATAGCTAATCGTGTTCTGACTCAAGATGAACTCAGACTAACTAATTAAACCATTTAAATACATCCATCATCACTTGTGCCCTGTCAAGATGCCCTTGGGCAAGGTGATACTCTCCTCCCTATCCACCGGCTTCAAGCCACCCTGGATAGCAGCAGCAGCTGAAAGCCGGAGGTACAAAATGAAAAACGTATTCCGGAGGGGTGACAAGAAAAACACGAGAGGACGAAAGAGCAAGCAACAAAATGGGCCAAATGAAATAGTTGGAATCAGAGGCTTCTATTTCCCAAGTCTCTGTTGACCGTTGCAGGACGTATAATGGAGGATTACCTGTGGATATGGCTACGAGACGTCCTCACAAACTATCATCCGAATTGTTTAAACCCCCATAAGAATCAAATGTGATTCCTTTCAACCGTTTTCTGGCTAAGCTGTAATCCTGCTGCAACAATGGCCTTTACTACTATCCAAAGGGGGGGGGGGATAATGAATGATGAACCATTGGCTGTTAAAATAGGGAGCAACATATCTTTATGGACAGTCTGAGATAAATGAAAAGAGTGACAGAAATATGACATTTTTCATTCTTTTTATTTTCAATCTCCTCTTTTATCTCTTGCCAGAATCCCTGCAGTGCTGGACAGACCCAGCAGATATGTGAATGATCTCCAGTCATCCCACATTTCCTCCAACGTAAAGCTGATACTGAACCTTTATCAAACTTTGAAACTATCAAAAGGAGATTTTAACCATTGACGACTTGATTAGCACATTGTATATGGAGGCTGTCTTTCTGCTCTCTAATGGTCTACTATTGCTAAGGGGAGCTGTCACTTTATTTGGAATGACAGGGTTCAAAGTTTCTATAGTTTAAAGCAGCTATAATCAATATTTCGGGGCGGATGTGGCTCAGGGGATAGAGCGGGTCGTCCGAACCCCGGCTCCTACTGTCTGGCTGGTAAAGTGTCTTTGAGCGAGACAGGAGCATGGTTAAATGCAGATGTCCTGTATGTATGTGACTGTAATAACGTTTTTCATATTAAAAATGCATCACATTTGGACTCTTCTGAAGGAACAAACTCCACTTGCACATCGGGGTTTCTAAATGTACTTGTGCGGGATGCTACCCTGTGACAAACTTTTGTAATCCAAAAGATACAAATCTGCTTAAACTATTTCTGCGTGTATTGATTAAGGATTTTGGTAGTAAGGTAAATGCATAAATAGAAAATAATGGCACTAAACACCCAAACAGACCATCCAGTCTGTTTGCAACCCTTGAGACATGAATGCACTGTATGCTGTACTCCTAAATTACAAGTTCTAAGACACACAGAATATAGCAATCCCCCAGATTTACCTTTCTTTATGAGTCTTTCTGAGACTACTATATCCAAAATGGCACGAAGATAGAAAAATCTCCCTCACTCAATAGATTACCCCAATCGAACGCTCCTCAGTGATCTGAATACCAAAACAAGACGGCAGGCGAGGACTCATCAAGTAACGGAGTGAGAGTCTGCCCGTCGTCTTGGACAGACGGCTTCGTCCAGCTGGACGTGTCTCATCGTGGTGACTTAGCGAGCAGTCTGGTAGATATTCTGCCCCCGAGGTGCCTGCTGCACCCTCTGTTTGCCTCACCCACTCGTGTGTTCAGAGATGTTCAACAACAACATCTGCTGGCCACACACACATACACACACAAACACACACACATACACACACATGATATGAAGCCATTATTTACTGCCATGGCAATATCCCAGCACGCCATGGTCTGAATCATTAAAGCCTCCCCGGGTGGTATATGGATTCCTCTGCATTCGTCTCAGCAGATGGATTCAGTCAGGTACACATCCTCAGATCAGCAGCTGCATGGTGATGATTAAGCCCTGCGTTGGGTAAAGGCTCATTCTTTATTGCAGCATTCATTCAGAGGCCGGTTCACACATCCTTCCTCTATTTAGCCAATAAAATGTGTCAGGTTGAATGGGAATCCGTTATATTTATGCATCATGTTTATCACATCCCTCTCGTGCTTCTCTCCCTCCCTCTCTCCCTTCCTTTCGCTCTCCTGCACTGCTTCACAGCAGCAGCGGCCATGTTGGGTTACATAAACCTCGGACTGTGCAGCGCATCGCTTAGTGTCTGAATCCAGTCGGATTCAGTAGCAGTCTTCAGAGCGCCTCGCTGAGGGAGGCGAGTAGGGGCGCCGTCGCCTGCCTGTCCGGTTACGCAAACCAAATTGCGGGCAATTCAGTTTTTAACAGGCCACGCTGAGCTTTTGCTTTACGTCTCAATTACAAGCTTCGCATTTTGCATCTTAGCTGCCCTCAGCGCTGCCTGCTCTCAGCACTGGGACTAGTATGCAGAATACTGGAGGAGCAGTCGTTACGCAATAACATGCTTTTATAATCAATGCATTAATCGGTGTGGATGTTCTGGGGTCAGATTATATTACAGTTAAAGTGAAGAATTTATGATGATAGCCACCAGTGCGTACAGAACCATAGACATTCTTTGCTTGATTAACAATTGGTTACGAGAAGAGAATTGGTCAAATTAATGAAAAACTACTCGTTTAATTATTCATTGAACTAATAATGAAAGAATGGATCTAAAATAGTGTTGTTGGTTCCTTCTAAATACATCATGTGTTTGATAGCATGTTGGCTACTGAGCTTACGAGGCTTTTCCTGGAGCTTTCGACCGTATCTTCAGTCAGCAAAGTTCTGTCACCTGAGCGAGCTGAAGAAGACTATATGGTCAAAAGCTCTGGAAAAAAGGCTTAGTAAGTGATGCTTGAGTTAAAAAACAATATTTTGCTTTTGTTTATCAGCTGTTTTGTAACAATAATCTGTCTGGTTTTATTATCTATCGCTGCTTAGAAATAGAAATAAATGTACACAAAGTGAAAAAAGGAACAAAACAAATTTAAATTAAATTATATAATTTTGAAAGGTCTGGTTCAAAGTTCTATTTCCAATGTTTGTACTTGCACTGAGATAAAACTAAAAATAAAAAGTGCTCTCCACTGTTGTTTGGCTCTGGTCCCATACAGATATATGGGAAACAATGTATTCATGCGCTGATGCAGAGCAACATTGTATCTTCTGTTATCCAGAGCAACTAGCAGCGACAAAGCAGAGAGAGACCACTTGACAGAGTTTAATGCTTGTGAGAGAAACCATTACAAGGATCAATCCGATGACCTTTGAGTCCCAGAATCTTGAAGCAGCAGGCTGCCCCGTCATCCATAAAGTACTCCCTCTCAAAGCACACCCATTAATCTGGGGATGTTGGCGAGATGTTTCTAATTAATCACCAAAAGACAGTTTGGGTAATAAAGTGGGGGGGGGGGGGGAGATACATTTACGACCAATCAAACCAAGGAATATTACATCTGGATGTTTATCTGTGCCGTTTTGTGAAGCATCTCTAGTTTGCATGTACAATATTAACAATAACATCAGAATAATCTTAAAATATCTGCTTCTGGAGAGACATAAAATAACTGCCATGCATGCACACTTTTCGGACCTCTACGCTAATTATACAAGTAATCAATCTTTTTTCTTTTGTCTAGTCGCTGCTACAAACTAGTGGTAATTAGGAACAAATACATTGCCAACTCAAATGAGTAATTGCTTTACTTATGAAATTAAATTAGTTCATTTGATCAGTAACAGCAATCACTTTATCTTGTAATCAGACTTCAGTAAACCTTGATCTTTGTAATGTATTGCGTGTTGCTTTCCATCTGTCAGTGTGATGAATCCTTCAACTCCTTCATTGCCCCCAAACATCTGCAACTCAGGGGGGACACACAGCCACCATATCTATCTCCTCTGTTCATTTAGTCTGCCACTGTGTGTTGGCACACACCCACATGCCCTCTGCTCCTGTGTTTCTATCAGCTTGTCATCGTGTGCTGCACATGACGCTGACTCCCTGACCTTTTGACTTCAAGTCAACCGGAAGACAATAAAGAGCAAAGTCAACCGGAAGACAATAAAGAGCAAAATCAACCTCTACGTAATTAAAAATACACAAGTAGATTGTAGCACAGTGCACTAAACCCATAAACTCATCTAAGTACTGTATGTGCAGGAATATACACATACACTGTCCATACACATTCATGCTGAGTGTGGTGAGATGGAAAAAGGAATATGGAAAAAGGAGCTGTAAATGTGATATACGACTAGCGTGGCAGGGTGCAGGTGAATTATTGGCCGAGCACTGCGCATTCATCAACAGTATTTGGAATAACTGGATGAGCAGCACATCTAGATACCTGCATTTCTGCACTACGCGACGAGCAAAAAAAGAACTCCATATATCTTTCATTGACCATTCATCTTTCTCGCTCTCCATCCATCCACTCATCATGTGTTTACTACCTCAAGAGTGACACGAAACGCCACGGGAACGATAACACAAGATATGAAGATGCTCTTATTTCCATTCCCCCGCAGATTGCACCCCCGAGGACAGCACATCTCACACCCTGTCCAATCACGCTCTACCTTGAGAAGATTACCAGACACCCGCCGACTTGCTCCGTCGAAACACTTTCCCCTCTCTCTTCCTCTTCATCTTCTTTAACAACCCTCCTCTCCTCTCCTTCATACTCTCCCACTGTCTCC